TTACTATATCAACTTATCGCTTATAAGCTGTAACAATATATTTTTGTGGCTCAATATTTATCATGTGCACAATTTCTTTGCAATATCAAGGAGATTTTTGCCATTTCTATTTAATAATGTTAAATTTGAGCTGTAGAGGGTAGAATAAATAACTTCTATGGCTAATTATTAGTTCATTTTGTGATGTATTTGCTGCAGCTCAAGACTTTCAATGATACATTACATTTAAAAACTAGTTCACAGGGATTATCCTGCTTTGTGTTACTGGTATAAAGTAGTTTCAATATTATTGTTTATCACAGTATTTCTCTGTAGCGATATATTGTGCTTCAAAATGTGTTAAAAAGGTCTCACAATTAGTCCAACATAATGAGATACAGAGATCCTCCTTTTCATAGATCCTTTAAAATCCTAAGTCATCAGAATGTTGACTGAATGTGGAATGGAAGAAACTGGAGGCAAAGTGAAGAAGACATAATATATTTTCAATGATTAACTGATCTAAATACTAATGTTTTTTTATCCCAATAATGCTGAATTTACATGGTACACATAGTTAATTTGCTTCTCTGTTAAGAAGGATGGCAAAATTAAAAAAATAAATAAATAAAAAATCTAACCTCAAAATTGTATTTGAGCTTCACAAAAAGTATAATTTATGATGAAATGTGTAATATATCAGCAAATAAAGGTGACAATGTGTAGTGGACTTTTCAGTAAGGAAAAAACCTATAAATCTGGCGTTTTCTTTTATAAAAATGTTTAGTGACTATTATAATCTCTTGTTAAATAAACAAATAATAAAACACCCGTGTAAATGTTTTAAACCAGGCTCTGACATCACTCACATGTGTCTGAGTGGTTCCCATTTGCCAAATTGTCCTTGATTTTTCATATTTTGTCATATTCTGTGATTAATCCCAGTTTTCCCATTAAAATCACATTATGTTCCACTTTACTTTTGCCTCCAGCTGCCTCCATTCCGGAACTTAGAATGTTTTTGTTTACAGTTTTTTAAAGGGTCAACATTCCCCGAGCCTCAAACACAGAGGACATATTTTTATAAACCAGTACAACTTCTCGGACCATTACATCATTTTTACTTTCCCATTTTGAGGGCCACTTCCACAGAAATCACTTGCCTCATCTCACCCCAGCCTAATTCAATTGTGTGTTTTGCTCTTTAGACTTACAAGTATTAAACCAAAACCATAAAAACATTAATTCATTTAAAATTTTGTGAGCTCATGTGTCAAATGTCTAGAAAGCAGTCCAGACAACACAATTCCCATATCCAAGTGTCGGCCTGCAGCCAGATTTCAAACTGAGTGACAGTAAAAAAACGGGGGAAACTAAAACATAGCACTCCTCCCTACACTGTGTATTTCAACAAGCACTCGCAATCTTACCTCATAGATGCCATTAAAGGGTGGATGTGTGATCAACCTTAATCTAGTTTTCAAGTTTGAGTTGCTGCAGATTCCTTGACACATAACTAATTAAGCGGGTGGAGAGTAACAACGCATGCAACTGATTTAAATGACGTGACAGTTGTTAAAGGGCCCATATTATGCTATTTCCTGGACTATGTTATGTTGTTTCATCATCAAAAACATGCCTAGAGTTGTGTTTTGTTTCATCCGCGCATGTTTAACAAAGAAACTCTGCATATTTAGGCTCGTCTCTCAAACAGGAAACACTGTCCTGTCTCATGTGGTACAGTGTTTTTTAAAATCCATACACCTTCACTAGAATCATTTGGAGAATTTCAGCCCTGGAAACTCCAATCTTTACTGAATAAAATGCATTATGTAGCTTTTAACTTGAAAACAATCGCTTCATGACATCACAAGGTGGAACAGAGCATTATTAACTTTAGAGAAGTAGACAGACTAATAATAAAGGATTACTCAAACACGTGTGAATGAAACAAAATGCTCTGGGTATGTCTTTGATGATCACATGAGTCACTTTTGCCTAATATATGACCTTAAAAGATGGAATTTAGTCCTGATGAAGAGCTGGTTTAGGCCTGGCATGGTTTCAGTTTAAAGGTCTACTGCATAACTGTTCAGGTCAGAGATGTTCTTATTGTTTGTTTCCATGGAGATGTATTGCTTTTCTTGGAATTACCCACATTATGGCATTAAACTGACATTAATTTATTTTACAGCTGTTATTGAAACATGGATTGTTATTGTGAACTTGGAAGTTTAATGCCGTACTGTGGAACATACAAAGAAAAGCTATGCTATGACTAAAAAAGTTCCATAGTGGGACCTTTAAATATAGTTGAGTTTTGGCATAGTAGACCAGTTTAGTCAGAATTTGAGTCTTTTCTACTTGGATGTTTTTAGCTCCGAGTTGGTCTGATTTTGTCATGGGTATCTTCAACTGCTTGAATATAGTACATTTTATTTAATTACTCCTTTTGTTCTTTTAAAAATGTAAAAAATCATCCATCAAGAACAGGTCTTTTAAGGTCATACAAAAATATAATATCATTGCAAAATATTGGAAACATTTGACTGACTTGTCTTATTGTTAATGCGTGCGGTTGGTTCAGGTCACTAATTAAATTGGGAATCCCCACTGAGATTTCAAATAGGCTTCACCAAGAATTTACCCACGCAGTCCCGGCTCTGGGAGTTTAGCAGGGGACATGGTAACTAAACCAATCTTCACCAAATAAAAGACCTAAAATGTAAGAGAACAAAACAAAAACAAAACAAAAGAAAGCAGTCTGAGAAACTCCAACTGTGGCCAAGCGCTACAAGTCATTTTCAATCAAATAAATGTTTTTATATTGTTTTCTAGCAACTGTTCTGAGTTAGGCAGAAGTTTCCCTTTTTACTTCAAAACAGACATAAAACTGTGTACTGTGACTAATATGGCAAAGTAGATTTTATCTTTTTGGTATTTTAATGCACATGAATCTTGTTAAAATCATTTCCAATCACTCAAAGTGGCTTAACACCTTTGTGACCTCACCTCCCATTAAAAATTATTTATGAACTCAGTCAAGGTCAGCGTGTAAAAAAGGGGTTAGGATGACTAAACCATAGAAAGGAACACATTGCACAAGTCCTAGATTTAATTTGTGTGTTTGACAACCAAAGTTTTCAAACAAGTGGTTTTGATAAGTTTATCAGGGTGTAGTCTACCAGGTCCTTTAAGACAGTGCTTTTGTTTAAAAAAAAAAATTCATAGCCAAAAATGGAGCACCGGTGTCTACTTAAATAAACATCAGTTGCTTTTCAACAGCTCTACAGGGAATCAAAGTAGTAAAAGAGGGAATAAAACACTCAAGGGTTTTAACAGGAGTGGCCAATGGATAAGCTACTTTGTGGTGACATTACAAAGGGGTGTTCTACATATCTTTAGAGGAATGTTCAGTGGTTACTGTGGTGAAACAATGGTTTTAAATTGCCTAAAAACTGAATATAAAAAGAAAAATACAAAATGGATTGGTTTTAAACACATTTCCAGAAGCCTGTGACCAATACAAGCATTCATGTCCTGCTTAGGTGCTTGAGTTTCAACAAGAAGGCGCTATAGCTTGTGCTTTTAAGTGTGAGAGACTTGATTGTGTTAAAATGAAGCTCATCTGTAAGTCTAACGTGAGTATTAAAAAAATAAAATAAAAAGCTTCAGACAGTGTCTATTGGTAGCTTCACAGTTAGCTTCACGCACCCAGGGCCAGTTAATATCAGCTGCAAAGGACTAGGCAATTTGAATCAGGTGTGGACTAAGGACTTTAACACTCGCATTATTTAGTTAAGAACCACGTGTAAGTAAAGAAAGAACAATTCTGATAATCTATACACTAATAAAGAAATGTTTGAGCGTTGGCATCCACACAGGACCATGAGGAGGTCCTGCAGCTTAGCCACACTCAGTTTCCTCTGTTCAGTTTGCGGACATGTCCCGGCAGAACACACCGGAGCAGCAGAGACGAACTCTTCGCGGCAGACAAACTGACCACGGCGTCGTTTCACAGTGTTTCTGACCGGGAACTGAACGTAACGGAGTGATATTCTTGGACTTTTTTACGCCCTCTAAAATACATCCGCACCATCTATGAAAAGCCTCCTGTAGCTTGCTGAAAGTCCAAAAGAAAACAGCAAACATTCAGTACAGGAGGAAACCCGGATTTAGGGTTAGAAGGAACACCCCGCGAAAATGAACTAGCAACGTTGGTTTATATAGAATAGGTGACGTCAGAGATACGCAACGTGCAGTAAAGCGACAGAAAGTGTCGTAATCGTGTTTCTGCGGTAACCATCAAGGTAATTTGTAAAATAAATAAATAAATGGAATGAAAATACTCAAAAACTAAATATTTAGTCCTTAATCAGCAACCAAATCAGTTCGAATCTGCTTCAATATACTGTAGTTTTGAATAGTACTAGTAACTGATTAAGATGATAACTTATTGGATTCAATTTGTCAAAAAACCAAAACAAAAACATAGGCTTTTTGGTAGACTATTGAGTGTAAGTGTTTTTGTGAAGAGTATACTACAATTCATTATTTTACTTGACATAAAACAACTAAAATACTTTTGTAATTTGTTTATTCACCTTAAATAATAAGGGTGTACATTACCATAACATGCACTTTTGCAGTTCCAGAGCCTGTTGCTGCTAACATCAACAAACTCAGTGGCTTGAACTCCCCTGGATCATATTCTTTGTTGAAGTAGAGACAAACTGTCAATTACAACATTACCACTATAACACCAAAACCTACCTACCTCAGAGTGCTTATCAAACATGAATCATTCTGTTTGTAGAATAAGATACTTTGCCATTGTGTTTCTATCTTTTCTCAAGAAATGACACAAACCAACCCAAGATAAATTTCTTTGAGTGCTGTGCCACAACACGATATTATTCTTGAGGAATGTTTATTTACACTTGTTTGTCGACAAATAACTGTGGGTTTGTTATAAATTTGAAAAATGTTTTGAGCTTTCCAATGTGATTTGTTTTGTACAGGCGATTTCTACAGAGTGAACACAATGATTTCTAGCCAACATGGAAAGTCAAATAGAGGTGACGCTATTGTTGACACTGCCCTGAGTTCACCTGCTGGACATCCCAGGAAAAACAGAGCAGTTTTGGGCCCTGGCGTAACCATTGAGACATTGCCAAACAATATGACACGTATAGTGGTAAGTCTGTATACCTTTATTTTGTGTGACTATAATTATTCAAGACATTAACTGTATTTTTAGTTTAATATGTTTAAACACTGCTCACATATGGACTTGTATAAGCACGTGACAAGGTGTAATTTAGTGGATTTTAATACCTGTCAGTTCTGCTGGCATAGTACAAGTATAAGTGTTGAGTTTTTTTGTCTGGTAGGAGGATTCTGGGAAATATTACACGTGGAGAAGTTTGGGCCCAAATGACCAACACACAAGGGACCTCTGGGTGGACATGAATGACCTCAGGCATGGTCAAGTTAGAGTCCATGGCATCCTCTCAAATGCACACAAACAAGCGGCGGTAAGATTATAATGTATTTTTATATCAATAACTTTTCTTTTTACGATATATTGATTCGTAAAAGAAATGTAACAATTAAACCAGTGGCCATCAGTATTTTCACACCAAGGACCATTTATAAAAAGATTAGGTTTTCTGCCAGATTGAAACTTGGTCTAGACTATTTCAAGTATAAGTTAGGACTAAACTATATTAGGACTAAACAACTATTACAAGATAATACCCAAGAACAAAATGAAGGAGAACAAAAATATGAATAACTTTGCTCAAAATCAAGCAAACACTAAAAGTGCAGAGTCAGTTCCACCTGAAAGAGACCGCTGAATTAAGCAGATTATTGGAAAAATTATTCAGTAATTTTATTATTGATAAATCTTGTCTATATTTCCGCTCCTCACATTCACTGATTTACAGAAGTATTGTTAGTTGGAGCCCTAACTACAACACTGATGTCAAATTTGTTATATTTGCATGCATTAGATTTAAATTACTTCAAATTATTTATTCATGATAACATAACTATTATCTAGTTAGATTTAGGGTCATATGTTTTTATAATACAGTTTTATCTCAAATCAAGTTAGAGCTAATTTACCTTGCAACAAACAACCCTTAAAGTTTCTGATTCAATAAACCAGGCAATACCAGCCAAAACATTACATTCTGTGTGTAGATAATAACTGGTGACAGCACATGCAAACAGACATTATGAATCAGACTTTTAAACAATCTCGCCAGAGTCCTGCTCCTCCAGCCCATGTTTGTAATGTTTCTAAAGTAAAGCCAAATAAATGTTCTCCAGCCTGCAGACGAGGTCCAGCATCCTGCCCTGTTCTGACCTCTCGTGTGTAATAAAATGATGTGATTTGGGGACAGCTAATTAACTACACAACTAGATGCAAATATAATACTAATATATTCAAATAAGGCCCATATTAACTAACATGACCACCAATTAACAATAAAACATTACATTTAAATAGTTAACTTATTCAGCTTTGTGTTATAAGCCATTTTGAGTCTGTCATTTGTCATTATTAATTACTATGGCAACAGTGCTAATTGTTTTGGAAGAGTAGAAAGGCAACACATATTGAGACCCATTGTATTGTAAAACCCGTATTGTGCTTGAAGAACAAACATACAAAATTATGCATTGTTTTGATCTTTGATAGTGAAAATTCCTAATCAAATATATTATTTCTTATATCTAGAGGGTGGTCCTGTCGTTTGACTTTCCCTTTTACGGTCATTTCCTGAGGCAGATCACCATAGCAACAGGAGGTAGGTTCCTTGATAAATTTTGACAGATGTTGTTTCGACCTTTCTGATGTTTGTTACAGATCAGTGCTCAAATGTAACTAAGTCATGCATGACTAAAACACAAAGCTATGCATATTAAATGTACCCTTTAAATTAGGAAACTATTTTTTATTTTATCTTTTTTTTTTTTTTTTATCTTAAAATCTGAAAATGGATGACTGTATTCCAAGGTCTATAGCAATTATTGTAGTAAGGACAGTTTGTGAGAGGTGTAGGCCTATGTATTTGGTGTTCATGATGATGGTTTTGTGCTTGTGGAGAACCAAAATAACAAATAACATGGAGGCAGAGTTTTAATCCATGTTTAAATGTACAGGTTTTATTTTTGTGGGGGACATTACACACCGCATGCTGACCACAACCCAGTACATCGCTCCTCTGATGGCGAACTTTGATCCCAGCTTCTCCAAAGACTCCACTGTACAATATCTAGACAATGGTAAAGTTCAATAAGTTAACTGATTCTTTGCAGCTAATGTCGTCAACATTCCCTGGGGGTGTGAATCTAACTGAGAGCACTACTCTGCCCAAAGCTCTGTTACTCAAGTTAGACTTAATTTGAGTTTTATTTGAACACAATCTGACCAGAAAGTTTAAAAAAACTATCTTTCAGACAATCTTAAAACTTTTTTGTCTGTGTTTGATAATGTGTACATTGTGCCACCTGCTGAACATTCCAGCAATAGACCTACATGTAGAACACCCCCAGTGTGATGTCTCTGCAAAGTATCAATTGATTCATATTTCATTTGAAGTGTAGTATAGGTTTAATGCATTGGTCTTTTGCAGGGGAGGTGTTTGTGGTCCAATGGGGAAAAGTGAGGCTCCAAGGCAGAGAGAAAGATGGTGCATTCACTTTCCAGGCGGCGCTCCACAAATCTGGAACTATCTCATTCAGCTACAAAGACGTAAGGCCCATTGCTTTATGGATTTGAAAGTAATACCTGAAATACTTGACTGTACATTGTTTTTCATGTTGTTAAATGGCCCATATTGCACTGTTTTCTAAAACACTCTGTCCCACTTTGTGATGCCATGTGATAATACAGGTTGTGCTCCACTGTGTTTTTAAACTCCATACACCTTCACTAGAATCATGTGGATAATTTCAGCCCTGGAATTGCAAATTGCTTCTGAACAAAATGTAAAAGGAGCTGTTAACTTGAAAACTACCACTACATGACATCACAAGGTGAAACAGAATATTTTGAGCTTTAGAGATGTAGACTAATAATAAAGGGTTACTCAAACATGTGTGAATGAATCTCTGGTTATGTTTTTGATTAGGTAACAACATTATAACACACATCATTTTGTGTAATACAGGACCTTTAAGATGAAAATTAAAGAGTTTTAAGTTATTAAAATTGTTATATATACACGAGTTTTACTAACTTTTTTGTTAATTGCTCTGACAACAGTACTAGGTTCTCATCTCATTCTCAAACCCATGGGTGGCAAGCTTATGAATATACAAAAAAAAACATTTAAATATATTCTCTTAATATGTTTTCAATTAAGGCTCTGGTTGCGTTACTTTTAAAGAAATAAGATGGGATTTACAAGCTGAATAGTAAAGTTACTGTAATTATTGTGACCAGAAAAAGGGACTAATTGAGTTGTTTAAAACCCGTAAATGGCCAGACCCAGTTGGCTAATTTGAATTATTTTGAAGTCTTACTTTCCACATTCACTGTATATAATAATATGCTTTGTCTTTGTAGATACCTCTGTCCTTAGATAAGATTGGTTCTGCAGACCATCCCGTAAAGGCAGGGCTGTCCGATGCTTTCATGGTCACCTCATCAACGGCTCCAGCTCCAGGTCAGTGTCACATAGCAGATACTTGGGAATTAGATGAGAGTGTGTGTGTAGAATTGGTTTGGCCCTTGTCTAGTCCAGGTTTAGTTTCAGGTTTAGTCCCAGTTTATCTGCAAGTGTGAACGCACCCTTTATGAACCTTAGTCTGGAGCAATCTTGGGGGTGCAATCACACTTGAATGCCACATAAGTTGCTGTGTACGGCAACAAAAGAGGGACAGGTGGTCACCATAGCCACAAGGTGCTCTAAACTTAAAACATCTTCAAGCTAAAGTGCCAGTTTGTATTTGAAGAACCACTGTCCCAATAAGAGGAAGTGAGACTAGTATTGTGTAAAATAGACCTAGAAATTCATGGGCAATAGCTGACTCCATAAATAGCTTCAGCTCTATGACAATTTTATCTTTTCTTGTTAATACCAAAAGAATATAACCGTTTTTGTGTTACAGATGGAAAACAGACTATTTATGAATACCACAGAGTAGCGATTGAGCCATCTAAAATTAAAAACAACTCCGCCATTGAATTTACTGCACTTCCAAGTAAGTATAGACCAAGATAGGCCTACAGTTTGTATACACAATAAATTTGAAAATTGAAAAATAAAGTTTGTATCAATAAATTACTATGGTGTTCACTATATTGATATTTTCAGCATGTTTGCAACATAACAGCTGTGACCTTTGCCACTCTGCAAATGAATCCTTGGGTTGTAGCTGGTGCCATGTTCTCCAGAGGTAATTTTCATTTTGTCTAAATTGTCTAAATATAATCAATGTGTAGTTTTTAATTTTCTCATTTTGTGCATTAGGTGCTCTGATGGCATGGACAGACACAGGCAGGAGTGGTTGGACTATGCTTGTTTCGAAGAGGTATTAGTTAAAGGTGCACTGTATAACTTTTCTGATGGAGGGTCCACTACCTTCTCGTCTCCATGGAGATGTTGCTGCTTTGTCTAGAATGATCCACAGTATTGCTTTAAAAGTATTTATCTCCATGGAGACAAAAAAATGACACCACCAAGCCAAGTTACACATGAGATCTGTGGAGAGGCGACAGTGCATATGTTTTTTAAGCAATAAAAACACATGTAATTGAATTGAATAATAATTGAATAAATGCAAGATAGATTAGTTTAATGCTACTGTGGAAGATTTCAGGCAAAGCAATAACACACACCTCTATGGGAAAAAAAAAAAAAATCTGATGACAGACCCTCCAAAAGAAAAGTTACACAATGCACACACAAAAAATAAGTAACACATTTATTATCTAATTTATGTTGTGTGCTTTATTCCTTTATCTTTTACAGAGTGAAGATTTCACCTGTGAAGATTATTTCAGAGATGAAACCTCCATCGACCCCTCTGTGACCTCAGAGAGTGCAGGCAAAAGTGGGGTGACAACTCTGCAAAATGGCTGCAAGAAAAATGGTAACAAGTTGTTTATTATTGACTTCAAAAAGATAATTTACTGCTATAGATTTGAATGTGGTTTTATATTTTCTTTCAGGACCTTCAGATGGGACAAAAAAGATATTCAAAACTGGAAATGGTGAGTTTTTTATTATTTTCTGATGTATGTTATAATGTTGTTTCCTCATTAAAAACACAGCTGCAGTGTTTGGTTTCATTCACACATGTTTAACACACAAATCCCTGCATTTAGGAAGAGTTCTTCTCTCAAATAGAAAACACTTTTAATGAACAAAAGATAAAAGGTATCTGTTAGCTTGAAAACTACCACATGACATCACAGGGTGGAACAGAGCATTTTGAGCTTTTGGAGATGCAGACAGACATAAAGGATTACTCAAACATGCGTGAATGAAACAAAACACAACTCCAGGTATGTTTTTCATGAGGTAACAACATTAGCTCACAAGAGTCCATTTTGTGTAATATAGGACATTTAATTATTTGTAAAGTGGGGCATACCAGTAGTAGTGCATGTACTGGCTATCAATTGAATTTTTTCTTTGTATTTTCAGAAATAAAAACTGACTCTTCATCCAAGAAGAAGGACCATCCTAATTTGGCTGTGATCGCCGGTATTATTGTGGCTTTGGTGTTGATTTTGTCCCTGGTTGTTGTAGCTGTTTTCATCAATTGCTATCCAGCCACTGCCTCACCACTTTACCACATTCAGGTATAAACTCTCAATATAACATGATTTAATTCATGATAAATATTACCTAAAGTTTGTGTAACTTTTTTGTATTTTAGCGGAGGAACAGTTACTGGCCAGCATTGAAGTTTCAGAATCAAAAACCAGGCTATACGGAGATGGAGGGAGATGGAAATGAGAAGTTTTGTATTGTAGAAGCTGGACCTCATTGAGACTAACCCCCCCCCCCCCAAAAAAAACCCCCAAAACAAAACAAACAAACAAACAAAAAAAACAGGAAACTCCAGTTACACAAAGCACAAGATTCACAGTGAGAGGTCGCTGACTTTTAAATTTTGGAAGATTGCGTCACATGTTATCAAACTTGTACCACTTGTATTTTATTAAATTCTAGCACTTTTAAGCAAAACATTTGTAAAAAATAAATGCATAAAAATGTAAATATTGTAAAAATAATTATGAATTAGTGCTTCATTTTACTTAAAGGTACACTATGTAACTTTTCAGGTGGAAGGCCTATCATTAGTGAGTGCAACTTCAATTGCTTTTTCGAATATGCTATTATCTTGACCTGTGCACCTATTTTTCTTTATTTGCTACTTTTGTTGAAGCATTATGAACTTTTTGAGTGTAAAAATGTATGTTTAATTTTGGAATTTGTGGAGTAAAATGTAAAAAGTGACCCAAACGTTTTTGTGCATTGTCTGCGTTAAATTATTGCGCAGTTTAACAGTTTAGTCAGAAGGGGGCATTGTTATCAAATCTTTCACTGTTCGTGAAGTAGGACATGCGGTGAACGTGGCAGATGTGTGGAGAATAAATTTGGACGGCGTAATTGAGGTAACGCTACAAAAACAATAATTCTAAAATAATAATTGCATAAAAATGCATTGTCAATAAAGCAAACCGCCACACAACTCAATCAAGACAGTCAGGAGATAATGATTTTGGTTAGGAGGTGCCAGCCCAGACAGTACCACCCCTTGCAGTCGGTAATCCACGCTCATAGGGTTAATTAAAATTCTTGAAATGTTAGAGATTTTTTAAATTGTGAAAACTGAAAAAGGGCGAAGAAAATCTGGACCTCCTCCTCTTCGTCCCTCCCACGCCGCCCTGGTCGTTCCTCTTAGCCTCGTGAACGCGCTTTTGGAGGGAGCCGAGGGAGCGGCGAGAGCGCGCTTTCCGTGTCTGGTTCGCGAGGACTGACAGCCAGCTGTGCCACTACCACAACAACGACTTGGATTTGCTTCATACAAGTCGATCGCTGTTGGTTCGCCACCGATCAGAGGTGACTGGGATAGGTGTTTTTTTTTTTTAAAGCGAAGAACCGTGTGAAGAAGTGGGCTCCGTTTTTACGCCAGTATCAGCGGCTTTTTTCCGTGCTAACAGGCTACAAGAGCGCTCAACATGAATCCGATGTGCAGCAGATGTAATCGAGTGGTTTACCCCGTGGAAAAACTAAACTGTCTGGACAAGGTAAGAACACGACCCATGTATTTTAACACCATAGCGCCATTAAAATCTCTATACACATCTTGACTCTTTTACGCATTTAACCATTATCCAAAGGCACACTTCAAAAATCACACCCAACTGCAATTTTGTGAATGAATTCAACACCCAATAGGACAGGTATATCGCTAGCAGGGAAAGCTAACAGCTAACCCACGTCTGCAAGGAGAGAGCGCACCAAAACGGACCATAAACTACCTTATATGATTTGTTAATTGATTTATGGGGTAACTAAATGTAACTTGTGCAAAAATCAATCCGCAGTACTGCTTTAAGGGTGTGATAAAAGACCAACCAGCGTGCGCTTCCTCCGACAGAAAGACGTGCAATGGTGTGGGCCTTGAAATGTGTGAAAGGGAAACTGATTAATGCCACGGTCCAGGGGCCTTTCTTAATCATAAACTTTGAAATTTACAACGCAATTTGGACAGATTACGAGTTAATGTAACCGAGTAATTTCGATTTTGGGCTACAACAAGTGCAATGTGCCGTCGGTGTACGTGCGTAAAAGGCTTTAGCGTGGACTGGTATGTGCATGTCCGCATCTAATTCTTCCGCTAATCCAAGTGTAGGATGATTAAAGCAGCCTTCTCGATTAGTTTGCAATCAAAAGAGGCTTTGTAATCTCAAGTTAAGGTGGTAATCTAATCAAATGTAGCCATAGATAGGCGTTTGAGGATTGCAAATCACACAATAGAAACCGTATTGTGCATAATGCGTTCCCGGCTAAACTTCATAAAGCATTTTCTGACTCATGTTTTATGTGGTAGTGTTATTCCTTTTCTCAAAGTCTATCTTAAAAGCAAGTTGAATATTTGTCTAATGGGCGTCTGAATGCACCGAGAATCAATCCTTGTCTGGAGTTTATCTGTCAGACGAGAAAGGTGGAGAAAGGACGCTCAATGCATTATCTTGAGTAGCATCAGCACTCTATGGGATGCTTATTGCGCTGTTACGTTGATATCATCATGACTAATGTGTTCTCAAATGGGGGTTAGAGACAAGGTTTATTCCAGCCAGAGATATGGTGATGTGAAAAATTCATAGGTTTCCATATACACACTAATACAATATTAAAATGAGACTCCACCAAGGCAGTGGTCATATCTTGCAATGGAAAATGTAATCTAATCAAGACACAATATTTTCTGGAGCAGGGCCTAATGCTTTCTTTCACTACTATTGCTATCAGTACAAGTATTTATATTTAGTCTGTGTCTCAAAACAATGAAAATTGTCTGAATTTAATATACACATATTTAATCTATGTTTTTCTACGACAGCAACTCTGAGTAATGCTACGGCTACAGCCATATTACTAATTCGTATGCCTCTACTACTAGTGTTACTACTTCTCTGCATCTTTTTTCTGTTCTTGGACCGTCCACCTATGGTACTATTACCTTAAAAGAGTTATGGAAAAATTATATTTAGTCAGTATCTCAAAATGTCCGAATTTAATCTACAAATTTTTTAAATCTATTTTTTCTATTGCTACTACTACTACAACTACTAGTAATGCTATTGCTATAACCATATTATTATACTATATTATTATTCTTATGCCTCTACTACCACTGTTCTTCTACTTCTCCGTATGTTTTTTCTGTTGCTAGGATATTTATTCACATGCAAAAATATTTATGGAGTCATTTTTGTGTCCTGGGACGATACCTCCGCCTGTTTATTTACCAAACTGAAGCACTTGTTTGTGTGCTAAACCTAAATTGCCCGTGCAGCCTGAATGCTCTGGAATCTTGCCTGGAGCAGAGGCACATTCTTTCAGCTTGACACTCCCATAAAACGTGCTCTGTCAAAGGCCTGTCCCAGGGACCTTTGGGTACTCTGGAGTCAGTCACTGTCCTCCTTATTTCCTGCTCCCTGCATCAGTACACACAAGCCCTATATACGGAAAACTACTAAACAACCTCCCAGATTCCCCTGTGTGACCTTTATGTTACTTAGTGACAATTGCTCTAGAAATGTGTGCTTAAAGGTGCACTGTGTAACTTTTTGGTTGGCAGTCTGTCACCTGCTTGTTTCTGTGGGGACTTTGGGTTGCTCTGCCTGGAATGATACACAGTATGATATATATATATATATATATAAACAATAGAAAGGTTTAATACCATGCTGTGAAACATTCCTGACAAAGCAATGAAGAAAAACATTTGACAGACCCTCCTCCAGAAAAGTTACACAATGCACCTTTAAGTTTAAACTGGGTTAGTGTTATAAGTTTTGCTGTGCACACTTACTGTATCTAGGTCTAAACCGCAATTTCTATTATTACTACTTAGTTCTTTGAGTAAATGTTATTTTCTTTGAATGTTTAACCATGCCTAACTGTATGTAAGGTTTGTGGTATAAAAGTGTTATGGTGTACACAATTTGAATTCTTTTGCTTCCTATTTACCAAATCATAGGCATGTCTTACTCTATGTGGGGTTAATAAAGTTCAATGTTAACTTAATTTTTACATATATTTTTAAGATGTTTTTTAGGTCTTTTGTATTATAATTTTGCCAAACTGAACTACAGCTAGCATGGCATGATAATAAAGTACTTTTTAGCTACTCAGTGAGTTAGTGGGTTTATCTACCTCTTGTTACTTTACAAACATGCAAATCTTGGTTATCTTAGAACTATAATTTGTTTCACATTGGAATCAATCTTGGTGACAGCAAGTTGCTATTCTGTTACCCCACTGCACCTCTGCCCTCCAGCCACAGAAGGGGCCTTTCACCTGAGTTTGGGGGTAAATGCGGGGTCCTGGAGTGAACTATAGAGGTCTGTTTGTGTGTGGGTTAGATTCCCGTTGAGTAGGGCAGGGCTGAGCTAAGGAACAGAGCAAGTCATGTTAAAGACAGGAAGTGCGTTTTGGCTGTTGCTTTTGTTGCTTGAGCGCCTGCCTTTTCCTTCCGATACTCTGCCCTTGTATAATGTTACTTGTAGACTTTGTATTTGCCTAATATGTATAGTGGACTTGAAGCAAACTTTAAACTATGCAAACCACAGGCACAGGCACAGGCACTTGTATCTCTGCATCTATGAAAACGAAACTATCGCCTTTATACATTTTTAGCTCTCAGGAAATGTGAGTGAAGACACAGAGAAATACGTTTGTCTTAATAGCGTAAATCTTTCTCCATAATTTGTCTATAATAATTTCACCATTGTTCATTTAATCTTTATTTGTTTATAGAGCACGTTACAACACTCAAGGTTACCAAAGTGCTTTCCATTAAAATCAACACTATATAAAAACATGCAAACATATAATAAAATGAAATAAAACTAATTGTGCAAAGTGTCACTGCATTATGAAGTGTTTAATTGTTATAAATATGAATGCAAGAGCTGATAATATATATAAATAAATACTCAAAATCCAATCAAGTTTATCTTATTGCTATGCCTGAAATGTTCCACGACATGACGTTATACATATATTTACTAAAATACATGTATTTGTATAGAAATACTCTCAAAACATGCGTAGTTACCGTGAGAGGACTCGCCTTTCCACAGAACTGACCTGTAACTTTTCTGTTTGCTGGAGATGACTAAGTATATTGCCATATTCTGGAACATTCCAGGCAAAGCAATGACATCTCCTTGGAGACAAGCAAGTGGCAGACCCTCTAGAGAAAAGTTCCACAGTACATCTTTAACAAAAACCATGCCATGCCAACTAGGGCTGAGTATCATCAATCAGTGGGTACATAGTCCTCTCTCAATACAGTGAGCTTTCGATTCGATACGATTCAGTATGATATATATTTCAAATTGAGTTGATATGGTTCAGTAAAAAAAATAAAGCCTAACTCATGGCTGTCTTTGTTAAACTACTGTGTAAAGTGAATATGAAACTCACCCATTTTAATCATCAAAACAGTGAAAATGTCAAATATGTTGCATAATCGACTTTTTTTCCCCCTCCAAACGACCTACAAAACGGTAGCGCTGTAACAAAATAATTTAGTAAAATCTATAAAAAATTATATATCGATACAGCAGCTCACGATATCAATAGTGTATCATCACATTAAACAATACGATATATTGATATTTTAATATTTTTGCGCACCCTGCCAACAGTCACTATAATCCAAAATGGAAGTAGGCAGAATGTATCATAATAAATGAAGATCATTTTTAATACCATGTGAAATAAATACATATAAGCTATATAAGCCCTCACAACAATGAACACACCTTGTAAACTTAAGCTAATGTCTAACTCTGTTGTTTTTTTTAACTCAAAGTAACACAAATCCTGATTAACTGTTGTCTTGTGAAGAGGGCCTATTTGATTTTCCATTACCAATTTATAATAAAGTGTATAGTGAATAAGACGCACTCTTGCTCCTAACAAAGCAGCCTTTTAGAACAGAATAATACATTTTAATGAAGAGCTGACCTAAAGCCAATTCCTCTGACATTAAGTGCAGGCAATTACAGAAACAATGTAAAACAATGGGTTAGTTTATTTAAGCCCTATGCTGGTTATGTTATATATAGAAAAGGGAGTGTAGAGTTGTATTGTATGATGTCTGCCATTATGAGACCTTGATATGGTGGTTCATCCAGTTATCATTCAAGCAATACTGCAACTGTCAACTATACGTACTGGAAAGGAGCTGTACCGGATTTTTACTGTCTTAATTATTCATCGTGATGACTTTAAAAGTGCTTTTCAAATTTCTCAGAGACCAGTCCGTAGTTTTGCCCTGACAGTAAAGTGAACTAAACTTGGCATGCTAAGATGTACTTCCTGATTGCATGTTCTTACAGGCCTATATATTCCAAGTCACACCAGCAACAACCAAATCTTGTGTACCTCACCTTTTGGACAGCAGTAAAAATAAAGTAAAGTAGTATGTGACAATGTAATTTTATAGATCCATGATGCCAAAGTTGTACCAATTTTAGCATTGCATTTATATACATTACGAAATGAT